TTATATATAATATAATAATACTTTCTACATCTGGGCTTCCATCTTCGAAAACCCAGCCTCAACAATAGTTCCCTCCCAAGCATATTTTGCCACACAAGGCAAGGGAAAAATGAGAAAAAAAATCTACACTAAATTAACCAGCCAGCAAATTTTGTAAACCATACCCACCCAAAAATGGCAAACCTAAAAAAAAAAAAAAAAAATGGGCTCGAAAAGCTTCCCTACAATATACATAAATTTGTCGAATCTTGCAACCAGGTCACAACAAGGACGTGAAATCGGCCCAGCCCGTACACAGTCCTTGGGCCTCGTCATCATTGCTAAACAGGGTTTGGTCCGAGCAATCAAGGGAGGCCCCACATGCTGAGTTGTACGATTGGCATGCCGAGTGGCACACTCGTATCCTGTTATCCCCATCCTTGTCGCACTTTTGGATGGATATCTGTGAGTTTTCAAGTAAGCCGAACTAGCTCGTGAGTAAAACACAGTAAATGCCATTATTATAAATAAAACTCTGCTACCTAATTTAGCCTGGGATGAGATTTCCACTTTCTAATCTCAGGTTTGATAAACCTGGCTGATAAGCTAGCTTATAACTTTTAAGTGAATTTCGAGCTATTTGTTGATAGCTTATGACTTATGGCTAAAAACTAGTTTATAGTTTTTAAGTGATTTTCGAGCTATTAGGGGATAGCTTATGACTTGTGACTGAAAAACTTAGCTTATATGATAAAAGTGTTTGGTAAAATAGTTGATAAACTAGCTGAAATAAAAATTTAATTGAATTTATTTGAAAAGCTGCCCAAACAAGCTTATGAGACAAGCACTCGCTCTACCAAACCGAACTTATTTGAATACAAAAAGATTATAAGCTAATCAAGCAGCTTATATGCTTACCAAACACAGCCTAAATCATGTTTCGATTATTGTCTCCTTCCATTAGATGAGTGACACGTATATGATTATGACATCATCATGGACACGTGCCATTTCATCTAATGAAATGAAAACAGAAGGGGGAAAAAAGTTTTTAATCTCTGTAGTGAGAAATAAAAATCTTCAATTCAGTCCTCAAGTCTCTAACGGGTCCAAGAAATTGTGCAAGTGACTTTTTTTTTGGCAATATTTTTCCCCCCGAAAATTCCAAACCAACTTGAAATCAATTCATAATAAAGAGAAAAAAAAAAACAAAAAAAAAAAACAAAACTTACCCAGCATGCAAGCCGCTTTGCGGCTCGATCGCAGTCCCGCCTGACGCCTCTGCCGAGGAAATACGTGAGGAACTTGCGGGGCCCGGCTGGGAAGAGACGGTGGTAGTTTGGCATAACGACGACCCGTTCGAGCTGCTGGAGAATGCTGGGGTCTGCCGGAGCACAGTGTTTTCCGGCAGCCGGGAGGACTTCCCGGCAGACAGAGAGTGACGGAAGGATAGCTGTCGAGGTGTTGAGGCAGCTGTATCCGGCATAGTCCGAGCACCGGAACTCACAAACCCCATTGTCGCACACACCCCCGTGTAGGCTACACTGCTCATCACAAACGGCTGGAACCAGATATATGGCCAATGTATCAGAACATGATACTGATGATGTCATCCGATTTTTTTTGTGTGTGTCAATAGTTGATAATTTTATGGGATGTGGACTTTTTAGAATTTCATTCACATTATAACAAGTTGCATTCTGAAATTTGTAATTTGGAAATGTAGCTTTTTTTTTTTCAGTAATTGATGAAAACACGGGGAAGTTGCATAATCAGCCGAAAGAATTGAGAAATATTAACGCAAATATTACCTGTTGAGCAGTCGATGCCAGTGTATCCATTTTCACAGCCACAAACACCATCTTCGAGGCACTTTCCGTGGCCACTACAGTTGTTCGGGCAAGAACCTGTAAATGATAAATTTTTTCTTTTAAAAAAAGAGTGAGTCGAGCAAATTTCTTAATGTGATGCTTGTGGGTGAGAAAAAGGGTTAGCTAATTAGTGTGCACTCACGCTTGCTACAGTCTTCGCCCTTGAACCCTAAAAAGCAGTAGCATTTCCCGTTAATGCAATCACCATTAAACTGGCACGAATTAAGGCATTGACCAGATGAAGAAAGTGGGCCCACATTGCAGAGTTCGTGGTAGGCAGGACAAATCAACTCACCTATAGCCGGAGAATGGTGTGGTTAATCACAATGAAATTAAGGAACTATTGTTTACTTTATAAAACAATATAACTGTCAGTATCCGTACCGTTAAAACCAGGAAATTCAATGGGCCCACCAGCTTCAGGACAGATTTTCCAGATGCCATCCACAGCAACCTAGGAAAGCATCCAATAATATACTCGTAAAAAAATGATTTTGAGTATAGTCAAGTTCGTTAAAATTCGAAGCTGAAACCGAGTGGAGAGCAGAGAAACTCTAGACTGTAAAAACAGAACTCGATTATGACACGTGAAAATTACACATCATTGAAAGTTACAAGTACCTCAAGCGAGTTGTTTAGACACTTGTGCTGATAACAACCATTCCCTTGCGTAGTAGATCCTCTTACAAACCCGCTACGTACTAATGATGAAGCCATGCACCTACAAAAAGCATCAGCTCAAGAACATTCAATATATCATTTCTCAACTTCATAATTTACGTAAAAAGTAAATAAATAGAAAAAATTACAAATTCACCTTGAATCACTTCCTCGTACTTCACCTAGCATCCTGTCGGGTGCCCTAGCACTATTAATGTCCGTGCATGAACCATCAGAATAGGCCAGAAAATAAGTGCAGTAATCAGCCAATGATGACTGCCCACCTAAAAAAAATGAGACACGCAATTCATGAACCATTCAAGCCATTAACAAAACAAATTCCTAGAACAAAATTGAACTGAATATTATATAAATGTTGTGTCATCAGTTTGAGAAAACTTAAATTTCCATGAGAGGATATTCCCTCTTATTGATATGTCATCAAGTGTTCTACCAAAATCACAGCAAGTTACCTACAATTTGCCTGGTCAATTTATGATAGATAATGATATACTGCCAAAAGAACTGTACATGTAAGTGTTCTGAGCCAACTGCACCTAAAAGAAACCTAATATTATTCAAAGTTCGAAAAATGAACCATACAAGCACAAAACATACACACAAGAACAGACTTACCTTTGTTAGGCTGCGGAAAATATTGGGCCCACTGAGGAAGATCTCCACTGTAGCTCACTATAGGGCAGTAGCCCTCAGCCTCCCTATTATACGTACACCCGGAAAACTGAGTCGAGTTGCAATGGTAAGCTCCTTTCCATTGGTTGCAAGGAGACGTGACGAATTCAGTCCCCTGATTACGGCCCCACTCAAGATGGTCAGCCATGCTGTAATTAGCTCGATACCACCCGCTATCTTCAAGCAGAGCAAGTGTCATTCTAGAAACTACTGATCTCGTGTCAACCGAGCCTGTCATGATCTCATTCATCAAGAGTCTCTTCTCCCAGTGGGATCCTGTGGCAGAAGCTTGGATATAAGATGTTTTGATTTTGTTGGATTTTTTGGTTTGGAATGGTTAAAAAAAAGTGGTATGGTTAGTTGTTAGTGGAATTTTTAGTTTATATTAAAATAACATCTAAATAAAATAATTAAAGTTGATTTGATCTAAAAGTAGGAGAGATATGATGTGAAGTGATGGTTAGTTAAAATTATGTGAGTGAATGAATAGTGAATTAAAATTGATGTAATGTGCAAGAATGAGTGAATGGAACTATTTATTTAATTATATTTATAATATTGAGGAGAGTGGGGTTGAGTTGAAATTGAGATAGATCATAGATTTGAGTTTTTTTTTTAAAGTAAATGGTTAAAAATTAATGGATTTTTTTTTCCCCGAAAAAATTGTATCCAAGCATGCAATAAACAAATGAGTATAAAACAAGTGACCCGTTATGGAACTAACACAAAACTTTTGAATTGTTGAAAGAAATTATTACCGGATGTGCCACGCCCACCGCCATCTTCGAGCTCCAAACCAGTGAAATTCTCAGAGAAAGCCTGAAATAATAAAAAAATAAAAAAATACAGGCGTGTTTCATTTAAAAGGGAATGACAATGAAAAGAATTCTCAACCAAAAGCTCCTTATCATTCTTTGGGGTGAAATGCAATTTACATAAAGAGCGAGAGGGCTCACCCCATAGTGATATCGTGAGTGCATGATAACTCGTGGAAGAACCACTCTTGTTACCATCCGCCCAAGTTTTTCGTCCATGACTTGCTCCGTCACCTGCACAGAGACTTAAATTCAACGACTCCATGGAAGTGAAAAGACAGTACACAGCATATTCAAGTGACTGCAAGAACTTTCGTCTAATGGATAAGCCATTTTGGTTGATATGGGGAATCGAGAAGTTTCATCCATGACATTATATTTGATGCATTAGTTCTGTTGGTATAGAGTTATAAGCATTTTAGTCGGTGAGTAAAAATAAAAGAAACAAAAAGAAAAAGAAATTGGAAAAAAAAAAAGTATACAATTCCTAAAAAGCTATTGACCCATAGTCATCTGGACTTGACATTTGGGTACATACAATCAGTTTCATAAATGGGTTCCATTCAGATTCATAGCAATTGACAATCGTAACAATACTTACCCGAGTGCGCCTTCTTTTTCTCTCATCCCGGAAATGAGCAAAAGCATGAGGATCAAATCCAAGAACATGCATAACCTACAAATTACAAAACTTTCACTACTTCTGATTAAAAAAAAAAAAAAA